TTCCGGCAGCTGAGCCCGGAGCCCGCTCGCGTCGCCGGGGTCTGGCCCCCGGGACTCCGCCGCCTCGCCCGGCCCTCCCGGCGCAGAGGCGGAGAGAGGGCTCCTCCCAAACGCCGGCGAGGGGGGTGCAGGCTGGGAAGTGAGGCCGGAGGCCTCCGCCTCGCCTCCGACCGCGTCCCTGTGCCCGGGTCCTGCTCATCTCACCTGCTCCACCTGTCGCCGTCATTTATCTCAGCCCGTGCGCAGGGATGGTATTAGGGCTGCGGGTGGGAGGCCCGACCACCGCAGCGGCTAAGAGCGTGGAGATTGCCAACCCTCCGACCACCAACCCCCGGAACTATTCGATATCTTGGCTGTGATGCTAGTTCCACGAGTCTGCATTTGTCAAAACTCAAATAAATGTACACCAAAAAAAAAAAGAGTTAATATTTTCGTATGTAAATTAAAACATAAATTTTAAAAATTAGTAATGATAACCACTCCTCCTCCGGGCCCGTTCCTGCTGGGCCTCTCCTCTGCCGACTGTCCAGGGGCTGACTCCCGCTGCTGGGGCACGAGTGGGAGGTGCCCGGAGAAATTCAAGGCCGCACTGGGGACCGGGTTGCTATCAGTTGAAACTTCAGCTATCTTTCTGCCCACCTCTGGAAGTCTGAGAACATCTAAAGATCCTATTCCCCAGCCCACCTCCACTTAATTGCACCTCCTTCAACCCCTCCCCCCTTTTCTCTCTCCTTCCTTTCCCCTGGGCCCAAGGCTGAGTAAGGGTGTCCAGACCCATCAGATGCCAGCTGAAAACTCATTACATGAATGAACGAATGATGCCTATCATAGGCCAGATACCACAGACCTTAGGATATCCTCAGTGCAGCCATCCTTCCTACTCCCTACTCCCCTCCCCAACCATCATCCCAAAGACAAAAATCCATTTTCTGCCCCACAGAGATACAAAGGTATCTGGCTCCTTCCCACCCACCTCCCCCACCCAGTCTGAAAAGGAAGTGGCACCCACTAAGGGTGCAGTGATGAGTAGTTTCTTTTATTGTCACCTTCTTCCCATTATTTGAAAATTCCTAGAAATTCTCACCTCTTCCAGGAAGCTTTCAGGGAGTGATCACAGTTGATCACAGATGCTGCTCTCCTTGGCTTTGCCCATTCTGAGTTGAACCAGCCCTTATCCATGTCATAGGAAACTGCCTTCCAGTTTTCCAAATAGCTAGTCCTACCCCAAACAGCAGTTCACTGCTCTCCTTTGGCTTTGGGATGCGTTATGCGGGGACAGGGAGGCCCACTGATTCAGCTGGCATTCTCTTGAGTCTGTCATCTCAGAACACCTACACTGGCCTGGAGGGGAAAGAAGACTCCTGATGG